TTGCGATCACTCTTGGATGAGAAGAAGGGGAGAAAGAGATGAAAGAGGGAAGGTTACCAAGTCTTAACTAAAGCATGAAATGAACCAGGCCTCATGTAGAGAAAAAAAAAAGATTGAAAATCAATAGTTAGTCTCTCTTGTGTTACTTGAGTTTTTGCCTTGCCCGAGGACGGGCAAAGTTTAAGTGTGGGGGGATTTGATGAAACTGAAAAGAACCATATTTTTGTCCCCTAATTTTCATATTTTTATATTATTTTAGCATTTAAATGAATTCATTACTCTTGTATTTCGATTCAGGGCAATAAATAAGGCAATTGGAAGAAAACAGGGCAAATCGGGTGATTTTGCACAGTTTCGGTGACAGTCAGTAATCTGGGCCTAACTATCAATTTCGGACACCGAATTGGACAATTCAAGAAGCATTAGAATGATGAAAGGAGGGGCCACAACTTTTATGTTTTGGGTTTTAACAGATTCGGCCAACATCGAGTACAAAAACGATCCCAAAGTCGGAGCAAGTTTGTAGCCAGGCCCATTTCACAACTTAAGCCCAACTCGCAGAAGTACCTTGAAGCAGCCCAAGTTTTAAAGCAGCCCAACTCGAATTCAATAGTCAAGAGTGCAAATCTCAAATGTAATCTCTAAAGAGAGAGTCTTATCAGATCTAAAGTCTTGAAGGTAATCCTAGAGAGATTGGTTCATGGGTTATTAGGGAGCTGAAATTCTTAAAACCTCCTTGAATTTTCCCTYTTCTTCCMTTTTTTTCCTCTCTTTTTTTCTTTTCCTTCATCATCTTATTTTTTTTCTCTTTTCTTCTTTTCTTCTTCTTCCTTGCAGAAGTACCTTGAAGCAGCCCAAGTTTTAAAGCAGCCCAACTCGAATTCAAGAGTTAAGAGTGCAAATCTCGAATGTAATCTCTAAAGACAGAGTCTTATCAGATCTAAAGTCTTGAAGGTAATCCTAGAGAGATTGGTTCATGGGTTATTAGGGAGCTGAAATTCTTAAAACCTCCTTGAATTTTCCCTTTTCTTCCATTTTTTTCCTCTCTTTTTTTCTTTTCCTTCATCATCTTATTTTTTTTCTCTTTTCTTCTTTTCTTCTTCTTCCTTGCTTTTTTTTTCTTTTTTTCCTCTTTCTTGCTTCTTCTTTAATTTCTCCTTCTCTTTTTCATTTAGTAGGACTGCCTCCATGCCATACACCAAAGAATATGGCGCTGCCCCAGTTGATATCCTAACTGACGTGTGGTAAGCCAAAAGAGCATATGGTAACATGTCATGCCAAGACTTGTAGGTAAGAGACATCTTCTTCAGAATTTTTTTGATGTTCTTGTTTGTAGCCTCCAACTACTCCATTCATTTGAGGTCGATAAGGTGATGAAGGCAACTACTTAATCTTGAAATGATTACAAAGGGCCGTGACTTCCTTTCCAATGATTTTTTTTCCATTATCTGAGATGATCTCGCAAGGTGCTCCATATATGGCAATGGTGTTGCTCTTGATGAATTGAACTGTCTTGGTTATTGTTGGATGAGCTATGGACATTGATTCTACCCACTTAGTGAAATAATAAATGGTGACCAAGATGAACTTATGCCCATTTGTTGTAGGTTGCAGTGGACCAACCGTGTCAATTCCCCATACTGAGAAAGGCTAAGGTGTAGTGAAACAATATAGCTCTGAGGGAGGTGCATTTATCTTTCGATCCAAGACTTGACAAATATGACATCTTTGCACATGTCAACAACAATCCTTATCCATTGTCATCCAATAAAATCCTATTCGGAGCAACTTTTGGCCAACATATGCCTATTCATATGAGGGCCACATATACCACCATGTACCTCCTTCATCTTTCTTTTTGCTTCTTCTCTATCTAAACATCTCAACCAAGGTAAACCTGAGGACTTTCGATACAATATCCTTCATGCTATGATGAAATGCCATGCTAGCCTGGTTATAGTTCTCCTCACATTGGGATTTGCCCCTTCTAGAAATGCTTGGTGCTCTAAGAAATTTTTTATGTCATAGAACCATGGTTTACCATCTGACTAATCATCTTCTGTTGTGATTGCTAATGTGCTGCTTATGTAGGCAGGCTTAGTATCCCAACTTAAATCAATTGGTTCTACTGCCATGTTGGGAGGTAAACGCATGGCTGATCCAAGGGAGGCTAAAGCATCTGCAAAGCAGTTGTCTTCTCTAGGTAGGTAATTGAAGGAGATGCACTTAAACTTTTTGATAAACTCCTTGGGACAGTTATGATACAATGCCAGTCGCTCATCCTGTACTTCCCAATCACCCTTGGCTTGACTAATGACCAAGAAAGAGTCCCCATAAATCTCCAATTCATCGATGCCCCAATCCAGAGCCATTTGAACTGCTCTTAGGCATTCTTCCCATTCACACGCACTATTGGTGTTGGGAAAGTCCAAGCAAATAGATAAAGGAAAGTGAGTGCCTTGGGGGTCCACATGGATCATCCCTGATCCCCATCCACTTTGGTTTGATGCTCTGTCAAAGTATGCCTTCCACCTTTTTCCCACTTGTATTTCCAAAATAGTTTTGTCTGGGAAATTTGTTGGGATTGCCTCATACTTCAAGGTCAGGTAATCAACTAAATGGTCTGCAATGGCCTGCCCTTTGATTGCCTTTTGTGTAACATACTTGATGTTATATTCAGAAATGAGCATGATCCAACGGGAGACTCAACTAGTAACTACGGGTCTTTTGGAATAAATACTTTTTGAGGAGGTATCTCAACAATTGCTTTGACCTTTGTGGGTCAATCTCAATCCCTTTTTAACTAACGATAAAGCCCAATAGTTCACCTGATGATGCCCTGAATATGCATTTCTAGGGATTTAGCCTAAGGCAAAATTTCCCAAGTCTTTCAAAGAGCTTCCTAAGGTCCATTAAATGATTCTCTACCTTTTTGGACTTGGCAATCATGTTATCCATGTATATCACCAATTTTTTATGTATCATGTCATAAAAAAGCACTCCCATTGCTCTCTGATAAGTTGCCCAAGCATTCTTAAGCCCAAACGGCATGACCTTATAGGAAAAGGTTCCCCGTGGTGTTATGAAAGTCGTCTTTTCTTTGTCTTCCTTTGCCATTTTAATCTGGTTATATCCTGAAAATCCATCCATGAAAGAGAACATTTCATGTCCTGTCATGTCATAAACAAGATTGTCAATGTTTGGTAAGGAAAAATCATCCTTGGGACTAGCTCTATTTAAATTCCAAAAATCCACGCACATCCTAACCTTTCCATCCTTTTTAGGCACTGGTACAATGTTGGCTAACCATTCAAGATAGGTTTCCACTTCTAGAAATCCCACTTCAAACTGCTTCTTAACCTCTTCTTGAATTTTCAAAGACCACTTTGGAAGGAGCTTCCTGAGCTTTTTCTTTATTGGCTTCGCATCGGGATATATGGGAATCTTATGTACCTCCAAGTCTGTGTCCAATCTTGGCATATCTTTATAGGACCATGTAAACACATCCCTAAATTCTTTCAACAATTCTATCATGTCAAGTCTCTGCTTTGGGATTAAATGACTCCCAATTTTCACCATCTTTGGATCATCATTAGTTCTAAGATTAACTTCTTTTGAGTTAGCTTTTGGTCTTCTTTCCTTTTGTCATTCAATCTGATCAAGGATATTTTGGGGGATCTCCTTCTTAGGAGGTTCCTCCTCTATCCCCATGAGAGCAAAGTCTAACACAATGTTGAATTCATAAGCTTGTGAGATGGGTTTGGGTTCCTATAAGATCTAAAGGAGGAATAAACATAGGAATTGGAACTGGACAAAAAGGAGATTTTTCAAAAAAAAGCGGCTAGGCCCAGGTTGTGAACCAAGGCTGCCTACATACCCTTTTAAGGGGATCAAGCCATTCGTAGTTCTAATAGAAGGATTTTCATTTCATTTGGATTAACAAAGTATAAAAAATGCCTACCACCAAGGCCCAGGGCATGTGACCGATAGGTGTTGGCAACTTAAGTATGCAGTTCAGAGGTTGATTGATAACAGACACATCACCTTTCAAGCAAGGTAACCAAAGCATAAACCAATGGGGATCACTAGAAATCCCAGGCCACCACACGAAGCAGGACCAAACAATAGCATTCATGTATTGCCCTGCATTCACCCACCTATAGTACTAGTGCCATGCATTCACCCACCTTTTAACATCATTTGCACTATCAGACCTTCCTTCTGCATCCTAGTCCCTTCTACACAGTCTACCAATACCCCTTTCACCCCTTCCACTGTATCTAGTGGCAACCTCCCGCAAAAACCCTTTGTTATTCCCTACCCAAAACTCTGTAGAGAAAATTCATCCAAAGTCCCTTGGAACTTTTACATCGAGCCAATGGTGGCGCATGTTGGTCAAACTGACCCAGAACGCGAAGCCTTATTAAGATTTGGAAGATTTTTGCCCCCAAGACAAGTGACTGGGGTAGTGGATAAAGGAAAGGCCAAGATAGGGTAAGAAATGGATGAAGAGAGAAAAAATAAGGAGAATGATGATTTCCTAAGAGCCATTGAAAAGTCCCAATACAACGTAGTGGATCAGCTAGCAAAAGTATCGCCACAGATTTCAATACTTAGGTTGTTATTATCCTCGGAGCATCACAAGAATCAGGTTTTAGAAGTTTTCAAAAGGACTCTTGTCCTCCCAAGTATAGAACTAGAAAGGCAGCATAGATGGTCGACATGATTTTGGATCCTCAAGTCCTAATCTTTTTAGATGATGAGATCTCAATAGATGGTGTTACTCATAACCTTCCATTGTATATCATAGTGACTTGTAGAGGAATGAGGATCCCAACTGCCTTGGTGGATAATGGGTCCGGTTCAAATGTTTGCACTCTTGGAACACTACAAGAACTTTGAATGGGTATATATAATGTGAAGAAGAGACCCATTGCGGTAAGGGCCTTTAACAATTCAGTTAGGCCAATTTTGGGAGATGTAACAATTAATGTGACTATTGGAAAGGTTACTTATCAGATTCAATTCCAAGTTCAAGACATTCAAGCATACTTTACCCTATTACTAGGGAGACCTTGGCTTCATTTTGCTGGAGTCGTGCCATCTTCCCTCCACCAGAGACTAAAGTTAGTCCATGATAATGAACTCATTAAAATCCTGGGGGATAGTCAGATTGCACCAACTATAGAATCATCAGTTCAACACTAGGAGGAAGGTCTAGGTTTCTTCTTTTACCAGTTTGAAGAAGTGAATTCCATCGAGAAGGTTCAAGAGGCAAAGAAAGTTCAAGGGAGGATATCACCCCCTCTCTGAATGATGGCTCATATGAAGTTCAACCCTAGCAAAGGGTTAGGTATTAAGCAACAAGGGATATTGAACCCTGTTAAGGCTAAGGGATCTCTCCCTCGATTTGGAGTGGGCTATAAACCTGATGAACTTGACCTATTTGGCCCACGAGGTGGGAAGAAAAAGGTGTACCTCTTTCAACACCACTGCATTTTGTCAAAACCAGTAACCCAACAACCATGCTTGAACCAACACCAACCCCTCAAGACAGCCCTAAAACCCCCCTTGACATCCCAGACATTTCACTGCTTTTTCTTGAAGACCAAGAAGATCGGAAGGACATTAGCTCATCATCAAGGGACCAGGAGGAAAAGGAGATTGAGGTGATCTACAAGCCTTTTTGTCCCACCGATTGGGGCAAGGTGGAAATCCCTATCAGACCAGAGGTAATTGACGAGCTCGAGGATCGTGACATTTAGGAATCCTTGGATGGAGATGTATGTGCGGTAGGAGGTGAATTCATGGAAAACCCTACCCAGTCAATTGTCCCTTTACAAGAGCCTATTCATAATTGGATGTCTTCTCCAACTACCTGGGGAGTGGGTGGCTGGTATGGTCGTAGAGCTGGCACTGGGAAAAATGGTTGGGGTGTTCTAGACACTGGCAGTGATGGTGTAGGAAAGTAAAAGGGTGGTCGAGGGTTGCTAGAGTAAGTGACTGCACTAACTCCCCTAATTGAGGGATTGATTCTTCCTTGCATTATGGCCTCCTCAATCCTAGTGGCCCCCTTAAGAACCTCATTAAAATGCTTAAGAGGCTGGGCAATCAACATTGAATAATATGGCTTGCCTAGTGTTTTTATGAACACCCTTACCATTTCTTCCTTAGGCATCAGATACCTTAGTTTTGATGTCATTTTCCTCCACTGATACATGTACTCAAGAAAATTTTCTCCTTCCTTTAGTGACATGGCTTTTAAGTCATCTTGATCGGGAATTAGTTCCATATTAAAGGAGTAATGATCCAAAAAGGCTTTAGAAACTTGCTTCCAAGACTTCTTCTTTGCAAGATCCAACATGGCGAAATAGGTTTGTGGATCTCCTGTCAAACTTTTTTGGAACACCTGGATAAGGAGCCTCTCGTCTGACCCATATTGGAATATATCTCCACAGAAGATCCTAAGGTGGTTTTGAGGGTAACCTTTACCATCATACTTTTCCAATTCAGGCAATTTAAATTTTTCTGGGAGTACTGCATCAGGGTATAAGCATAATTCTTTAAAGTCCGTATTTCCTGGGTTATGAACCCCGTTCATTTTCTAGATTTCTTCCTTCATTTTCTCCATTTCTTCCCTCATAGGATCGCTCGTGAGTGAGGTTGGCTTGATTGCAAGGATAGACTGGGAGGCACAAGGGTCTTCTTCTTCAAAGTCATCTATTTGGTTTACTATTGGTGTTGTAGGTTGCTTGGTGAAGACAGTAGGTTGTGGCCTTGGGGTCGGCGATGCGGTACCTGCAGTAAATACGAATGGGGTAGGAATCCCAGTAGTGGTAGGGATGGTGAAGGTTAGAGCTTGGGTGGTGATTTGGGGGTTGGTAGCATTTCTTTCTGAGAGTGAATCCACCCAAGTAGACATTTCTAAAATCTTTTCTTGAAGACGAAGAAATTCATTGTATGAAACAGTAGTGGGTGTAGCGATCTCCACATTGGTCGTGTCCTACTGCCTTGAGCACTCTGAGGTCATGCCTTTCATTGCCATGGTGCGGGCAAAGGACCGGGTCACAATCTATTGGTCCTCGTGTTGGCCTAGAGTAGGTAAAAAATTATTCATTGATTGAATGAGAGAAGACAAAGAAGTCGATTTTCAACATTTGATTTTTATTTTTATTTTTTATGATTTTGATTCTATTTGATGAGTTGATTTAATGAATTTTATAAACTTAATTTTGATTTTGATATTTGGTGAATTTATTTGAAGAATTTGACATTTGATGTGTTGATTTGATTAATTTGATAATTTTTCCTTCATTAATTCAGATTTTTTATGTTTGATGAGTTGACAACTTAGCATTGATTTTGATGCTTTGATTTTGTTTTTTGTATTTGATGAGTTGATTTGTAAAATTTGATATTTGATGAGTTTATTCGATGAATTTGATAATCTTGGCTTGATGTTTGGTGACTTTTGATTTTGCCGATTTGATAAATTTGATACTTTTGGTGATTTTGATTTATGGTAATTGAAGATGCTTGAGATGGGGGAGCCGCTTGGGGATTCTCGAGGTGCTCCTTTTGCTTCGGTGGTTGCTTCATCTGCAAATCCCTTTCGTATTGTTCTTGATCCACTGGCGGTGGATATCCCTTTGAAGGTGCCTTCGATCAAGTGGGGGAGAACCTGTTATTC